GTGGAACCCCAAGGATGCCACAAACAGACAAGTCCGCAGAGCTATGGAGCAGGCGCCTGCCTTGGATCTTGAAAGCCTGCCTTTATTGCTATGTTCGTATTCTGTCATATTGGTATCTTCATATGTTCTTGTATTAGTATACAATTGTGTTAGTATACTGTATACTAATATATTGCATATTAGTATAGTACTCTGATTGTACTACTAGCTTGTATATATATATATATGTAGATATTTGATATTTTTGTGTTGGTATCTTATTATCTCATTTCGTATATTAACACATTGTTGTACCATACACTGATTGAAAGCCTCGGGGCCTTGATCAAAAGAGCGCCCGTTTGGGGATCTTGTTTTTCTGGTCAGAAGTGCTCACTATTTGGATCAATCTCCACATATGGATCAATGAGTTTTTTGTAGTCCATCAAGTTGAAAGTTCAACAGTCTTTGCCAGTGGCGCCTTCACAGGAAAACAAGAAGGCCCGGCAGGCACAGCAGCTGCACCTGAATGTGGCGAGGCTTGCGTGCCATTGTGTGCCCACACCTCCAAAGAAAAGGCTGCAAAGAAGGAGTTCAATGCAGAGGTCCGACAGCTGGTAAAGCCTGCTCCCCGGACAGAAGCACAGATGTACGGCAAAAGCTGATAACCGAGCTCATGTGAGGTTCGTGCAAAAGCGTGATCCCAGATATCAAGCACGTCAGAAGCAGCAGATGAAGGACTTCGGGAAAACATGTAACATGCCGACGTGATGAGCTAGAGGAAGGCTGAGCTGTCTGGAGGAGAACATGGAGAAGTCTCAGCGTGAACGGGCAGAAAAAGACCGCAGAAAGGCTGATGAGGACGGGCCAATGGGAGGGTGGTGCACCGTGGAAAGCTCGCTGTAGGAGTCTGTGGGAGTGATAAAATTCCTAAGGCCAAGGAAAAAGAAGAGCGCAAGGCAGCGGCAAGACAAGCTGAGGAGGCGGAGCCCGGTGTTGTGTGAGCTTACACCTACAGCTTTTGCAGCATCAAGCGCTCGCTTGGCAGGAGCGATGGGCAGAAGCCAAAGCAAGAAAAGAGGTTCGAACCGACGTCTTCAGCTCCTGGTCCTAAGCTGGTGAGAGGTGTGCTTTGCGGGAGTTGGGCCCAGCAGGAGCAAAGAGCTCGAGGCGAAGTTGTCAGTGAGGACCGGGTGTTGCTCATGGTGCAGAGAGCGTAACTTCTGCTTTGTGGTCCTCTTCGGCGCCAAACCCTCACAAAGCAATATGATCATTTGCCTTACTGCGCAGGACGATGAGGAGGATAGCGAGGACGCTGTGATCCCATTCAAAATAGGGTTCGACTCCGGGCTCCAACGGGAAATCAGTCTTGGCCACTCGTGTTTTGGCAGGAGGAGCAAGCCCGGTGCTGAAAGTACTGCACGTCGTTGAGTTTTGGAAGGAGCATCAGTGCCCACCCGCAAAGTTTTCCCCAAAGGCTGCGCAATGCTGCAGCGCAAGCCCAAACCCTCCAAGCCCAACACCCATGAAAGCAGGTCATGAGGGGTACCACGCACCCGTGGTCCGCAAGACAGTTTCCAACCCTGTCCAGCCCGGTCACCCTCCTCAAACCGTTGAGTTTTTGTCAAACCTGAGATGCAGATCGAAGCTAAGGTTGAATATTTCTGCGAACCCTGCAGAAAAAGCTTCAAGTCAGAGAAGGCCATCATCTAGTGCTCCTCAACTAGAGCTACTGCGCTTTGCATGCCTGGCATGCCATCTTGTTTAGGTTTAGGGTTCAGGATTTAGGGTTTAGGGTTTAGGATGAGACAGGGAAGCCCTGCAGGCTTTTGACCAGCACGCCAAGAGCAAGAAGCACTTGCAGGATCGCTGGGGGTTGGGCCTTGGCTTGCGGGCATGTAGACTTCGCCAGCGCCTGTCAGGTGGTTGCGAAGCTCCGGAAGGAACTGGACCAGGAGTTGGAGGTTGGGCCACATCTGGCCGTTCATAGAGTCTTATATACACAATTTCAATGGGAGAACACGCTAAGAGTCGCACATCGGTAAAGCCGGCGCTTGACCTTGTGAAGCTTGTGAAGCTTTGCAGGAAGAGGCGAGAGCGTCCAAGGCAAGCAAGGAGGAAGCCACGGAAGTCCCGCACGACCAAGGCTCACGCGTTGCATCGTATCTCTCAGAACTTAAGATGCAGTTTCACAGTTTAGGGTTTAGGGTTAACCCTAATCCCTAACCCCTAACCTCCAACCCCTACTGTGACCCCTAACCCCTAACCCTCTAAACCCTAACCCTAAGCCCTAGACCCTGAACCCCTAAACCCGAAACCCGAAACCCGAAACCCGAAACCCGAAACCCGAAACCCGAAACCCTAAACCCTAAACCCTAAACCCTAAACCCTAAACCCTAAACCCTAAACCCTAAACCCTAAACCCTAAACCCTAAACCCTAAACCCTAAGACAAGACGTCAGAGCCGCTCCCCAGGAGAGCCCATGCCAGCCGAAGAAAGAAGAGAGGAGCCCGCGGAGCCCGCGGAGTCGGCGGCATTTGGGGGTTTCCGAAATTGGGGGGTGCCCGTTCTGGGGGACCCTAAACCCTAAACCCTAAACCCTAAACCCTAAACCCTAAACCCTAAACCCTAAACCCTAAACCCTAAACCCTAAACCCTAAACCTAAGGGAATCCTACGATTTGGGGACTATATTGGGGGTACTTGATTTCCGTAAACCCCCATGTCGCCAGGCGCCAGCAAAGCTCCCGGATGAGACTCGAGACATGGACTCGGAGACCAGAGAGGACTTGGGGTTTAGGGTTTAGGGTTTAGGGTTTAGGGTTTAGGGTTTAGGGTTTAGGGTTTAGGGCCTGTTTAGGGTTTAATTATTAGGGGTTTAGGGTTCAAATTGGCTGAGAGTATCAGCAGATCCTGGGTTGGAAGTAGGAGGACGCAGGAGACGGCTCTGATCACTGTATGAGGGTTTGCGTAGTTTGCGTTGCATCCAGTCATTGTTTCGGCCGTCATGGCGTCAGGGTCCCATTTAATATATATGTATATATACACACTGCCACACACATACCTTTCTTTCATGACCAGGTTTGCACGCAAAAAGTCCCCAAAATTCCCACACAGAGACCCGATTTCAGAACGATCCCTCCTCCCTTTGTACGCAACATTCACTGTTTCCGGTGGGGGTACTACTTTTGCTTTGAGGAACTTGCACCATCGCAGATCGCAGGACGATGCCAACAGCGAGAGTGGAAGCGACAGCGAGGACCAGAGACCCATGATCTAGACGTGTTGCAGCAGTGAAGCGTGTACTGTGAGACCATGTGGGTTGCTTCAGTGACGATAATGTGTTTCGCGAAGAACGGCAACCTGGCAAGCCCGTCGGAACCAGCAGAAGAGTCTGACTCCATCTAAGCCTGTCAGGGATGGGCAAATGTATTTGGGTGAAGGCATGGGCGATCACGGGCGTGGTGACTTAGTGGTGGTTGTGTAAGACTGCGCTGGAAGCTTTAGTCACCTGGGCGTTTATTTGCAACACAATTACACTCCAACGGGTTGATGTTTTGGAGGGCATTCTGATGATCGGACATTTCCTGGCAGTGGCTTTGGTTGCTGCGCACGCCTGTAAAAGATGTTCGGCAACTTTTTGCCCGCACTCCGGCCGCAAAAGCTTCCTACCTAAGCAATTTGAGCCTGCAAGTTCGAGCACTTTTCGTTCACTTCGAGCTGGTCTTGGCAGTCGGCCGCTTTAGTTGCGATTGTCATGCATCCTTTCGTCACCCACACATCCATATCAAATGGTTCGCATGTTGTGATTTGAAAACATCCGGCTAATGCCGCAGGACTCTCGGTTGCTTGCCGGGTAGAAGAAGCTGCTTTCAGGACAATTTCCTGGCTCGCTTTGCTGCGCAGAAGCAGGGCAGCCGTGGCGGTTGGGAGCTTGAGTCCGTTTGCAAATTTTGGGATGCAAGGATGCTAATTGTACGATGAAAGCAAACAAAAACAATATCTGTTGGCAGTTGGCACCGACAGGCTACCCGCAGCCTTCCAAAGAGAGCGAAAGCGACAAGGTGGCGATGGATAGGATCTGCTGATCTCGGTACATTCGAGGAAAGTCAGCTGGGTGTTGTCCGGTGTTGTGACCCTGATTTTGTGGCCACAGTCGGCGCGGGTGCTCAGCAGAGTCGCTATGTCATCTGCTTCAGCAGGCAGAAGACAGCCCGGACGAGCAGCAAGAAGACATTCGCGGGCGAAGGCGCGCCGAGAGTCGGCGATACCATCAATTATACCAGTATTTCTGTTGTTGTTATTATTATCGTTCTGATTATTGTCAATATTTTTCTGTTATTATGTTTGCACTTAATTGATATACAGAGTAATGGTCATTTCTTATGATTGCTCGGGGTCGGGGCCATGCAGTGGTCGCCTCAAGGGCACAGAAGAAAGAGCAGCAAATGGCGGCGGCGCTGCAGAAGCTGCAGGCAGAATGCCCCATCTTCGGGGGAAGTCTTCGAGCGCACTCGTTGACGGCCCCTCACGTTTGTCGGGTTTTGTGCCATGTGCTCCCGGCTGCCTTGTTGCAAGCTTATGTTGACTGGCAATCCTGAACCCCAGACAGAAGCAACACTGAAGAGCCATTGGCGGACCACCCTAAATGACCTCTCAGGAAAGAGAAGCCGAAGCCCGCTTCTCAAGCTTGCCGTGAAAGTGTGGGGCTTCGCACCAAGGGTGGAACGGCGCATCATGCTTTCCAGCCTGCGATCTTGAGGTTTGAAATTGCTGGCCGCAGCGTTTCGTCCAAGATGGGGCTCAATGTCAGCCTTAGTTGAGGGTCAGGGCCTGGATCATGCCAATTGCCGACATCGACTACCGGGAGTACTTCACTGCTGAGAAGATCGCTGACTTGAAGGAGTCGTTTGATAGCTTCGATGTTTCTGGAGATGGGCGGATCGGAGCCGATGAGCTGTATGGCATGTTTAAGAAGCTGGGCACGAATTTGACTCGCTCGCAGATTCGAGAAGTCATGCGTGAGGTCGATGCAGACGGGAGTGGCGAAATCGAGTTCGAGGAACTGTGTATACTGGAAATCAAGATGGCGCGCTCCCGTCCGCGAGCGGATCTTATCGACTACCAGGACTATCTCGACTGCAAAACCGTCCAGAAATTGGAAGAGGCTTTCGACCGATTGGACGTGGACGCGCGGGGGTTTGTATCGGTCTTTGAGATGAAGGGCTTGTTAGAGGCACAGGGCTGCAAGTCGACGGAAGATGAAATCGACGAAATTTTGGGTGAGTTGAACAGCCAGGGAGAGTTGGACTTCAGCAGCTTTGCGGCAGCCTGGGCCATTGCCAACCAACATCGGAAGCACATCAACTACCGTGAGTTCTTAGACAAAGACGAGGTCGAAGAGCTGAAGTCCCTTTTCGAGGAGGGTACTCTCCCAGGCCAGGGCTTCATGGCGATCTCGGAGCTGGATCACATCTTCCGGAAGATGGGGTACCCCATGAAGACCAAGCAGCTTCGGGGCTTGCTTCGGGACTTCGACAGCGACTCCTCCGGGGAGATTGACTTCGAGGAGTTTTGTGTCATGATGCTGCGGCTCAAGTGTGCCAAGCAGGTTCGGTCGATCAGCCCGGAGACGCACGACTGCCGGACCCTTTGGCTGGAAGAGGGCTTTACGGCCATGGAGCTGCAAAAGTCCGGGTACAGCATCGCGCACATGAAGGCCGCAGGCATCTCCGTCCGCCAGATCCTGGCCGAGGCGGAGGTCACCGCCCTGGAGATGCGCCGCTGCGGCTTCTCGGCGCAGGAGCTGCGCAAGGCGGGCATGGGGGCCAGCGAGCTCCGGGCCGCCGGCTTCTCCCTGGCCGAGCTAAGGCTTGCTGGCTTCTCCCATGCCGTCCTTCAGACGGCCAACAAGACCCTGCGCTCCTACCTGACGAAGGGAAACCTGACAGTGCTGCCGCAGCAAAATCCCAAGTTCGACCCCAAGAGGAAGAAGCACACGCCTTTCATGAAACTCTGGTGGGCACCCAAGACCTCAGATGATCCCAAACCAGTCACTCCACGCATCCGAGAGCACACCGACTACCGACCCAAGTCAAAGTCTTCTCGCCCGGCTACCACAGGCTCAGCAGAGGTGGGCAGGTTTGAAGCACCCAAAGGCTTCCATGATGGAGCAAGACAAATGGGAAGTTATTCAGGCTACCGGGCGAGCCGCATGATGCCAGGTGGGGGACGACCCTTTACGGCAGCTTAAGAAGAGCAGCAAGAGGATTCTACAGAATTCCACTCTCCATTGCCAGCTTGAACAGGCTGGTCTTGTAGGCATAGACTATGGCAGACTGGCAGGGGGCTTTTGCGAAGCAATGGCCTCAAGCTGGCTCCTAACATCTCGTGTTCCCCAAAAGAGTCTCACAACTCCGTCAATTCAACGGGTCTCACGGGCGTCGTGCAGACGCTTCTTCGCAGAAGGACATCGACATTGTCTGCAACGATGCAGTATGTAAAAGCCTCATCTTGAGCAACGCGAATCCAATCTGATTCGCCTGGCACATCCTGGCACACACACGCACACACGTCCCGCACACAGCGCAAGGTTGGCCATGCCCACGAGCCTGCTTCAATCAAGTTGCATAGGACATGTGGCCAATGAGGCTTTCCTGGGAACTGCCTCACCTGCACCATCAGCCGGGAATAGAACCCAAACCCGCAATCCCAAGCCAAGAGATACTTACACCCTAAACCCGAAGCTACTTCTGCCAGAGTTGGGCCCAGCGTCCCCCTGCTCCAGGCCGAGGTCGGCGGGGGCAAGCCACGCAAGAAGGAGGCATAGCATGAGAGACAACCAGTTAGTACTGTAATACAGGCGACTTTCCGGTGTGAGCAATTTGAGGTTGGCCTAGCTCCTTCGGGTTTGCGGTTTCTGGCGTTGAGGGGGTTATCATCAGCTCTGCTCAGCAGAATGAGCTTGCTTCTCCTCATGCGAACTGGTGGAGCATGGTGATACCCAGATCCGCTCGATGTCAGCAGTCGGGGCTCGGAGACTCCATGAGGTTCATGGTGATGCTAAAGACAGCCCTTCGCCTTTCGTTGTCTGCGGTGTGTCTGCCTTGTTTCATTGCAATCCCCGGGTTGTTCATTTGTTCATCCCTTTGCAGTCACAGGTCGCCGAGCTCTCTGCCAAGGATGGGCCTATTCCCGAGGTGCGCTTTATCTCGAAAACGCTCGGACAGGGCTTTGTTCTGACAGTCGCTCGGCTAACCGGTAGGCAGGCGTCGGCGAGGCGACGGAATCAACAGCGAGAATTGCCGAACACACAGGCTCTAGTTCAGCCGAGTTCCTAGTCCACGGACTGATTAAATAACTTCTTGGAAGCTAGATGGTCACAAAACAACACGAGCCCTCTACTAGCTTGTTCACTTCTCGTGCTGTCTCTCACATACAGGGAATATACGACTAAGTGTTTTTTTCAACGAAGATGTGCCGCCAGGGCAACGTCTGCGGCGTCTGCGGCGAGGCGACCCTGGGGTGATGTTGAAACCATCGGGCTGCAAGGCAGTGGAAGGTCTTCGAAGGCAGGGATGTTGGGATGGGATTGGGAGGTTCATGGTTTGCTCAGGAACAGACGAAGTAGCTCTACCGGGTACCTACTTTGTTGATGCTGTGTCTTTGATCTTTTTGAGGGTGGCATTCTGGGCATCTGCTGGACCTCTTGCCTCGCTTTCGATGCACTCTAGCCTGGCTTCAGGATTTTGGCAGCCGATCAGCCATGTTCAAGCACATCAAGGCGGCGACAGACCACCCCAAAAGTAACGCTTTCATTTCGGTTGCCTGTCGGGTGTCGCTCCTCCTTGAGGCAACAGGCCACGCCATGCTCAAGCCTCTTGTGGCGGAAGAGCCCGCCAAGGGCAAGAAGAAGCGGAGGCATCCGCTTGGAGCTAAGTTAAATTTGAGGCGATGCTCCGGCATTTACGTGCGGTGCAGAGGCTCTAGACAACAAGCTACAAAGATTTGATATGTGCGGGTGCAGCACACAGGCCTAGCCTTTCAACAGCGAAGTCAACAGCGCATAGCACAGCCATACACACATGCCATGCGAGCGCCGCTGTTTCGCAGGTAGCCTGCGCCCGCCTTTGCTGGCGCTCGGAGGACCGCCTGGCGAGGAAAACCGGGCGAGAGTTGGTGTAGTGTGACTCTCTGCCACCTCTCTGTCCGATGTAACGTAAGGTTGAAGCCTCTTTCATGTGTTACCCCTCCCCTCCTGGCCCCTCCTGAACAGTCGCTAATGCTTGACCCTCTTCAACGGTCCCCACGCCGGGTTTTTAAACGGATTGTTCAAGGTGTAGAAGGAGATTGAGAAAGGGACAGCTATCTAAGAAAAAAGTGTGAAGACGACCCTGTAGCAAGAAAACTAGTCTCGCCCGGAAAGATTTGGCTTTACTGGGGACCCCTCAAGCAGTGGGTTCCATCCTGAATAGCCCGGCAGACTTGATGTGGTTTCGTAGTTCAGAGCGCGGCCCTGCAAAAGAGGGCCCAACCGTATAGCCCCCTCTCCGAATCAAAGCGCTCACCAGAGAGACAACACCCTCCATCGACTCGGCCGCAAATCTCCACTCTCTCACTCTGTTCTCTCTTCTCTCTTCTCTCTCTGCCACTGTCTGTTCTTGACCCGACTTTTGCTGCAGGCATGAACGCTAACGTGGACACATGGCAATATCTCGCGGTAGCAGAGAGCTCGCCGTGCCAGAAGAAGGGTGGCTGCAGTTCGGCCCCCTGTAGTGCGAGTTGTGCGTGACACCCTCTCATTGCATCATGGTTCCCTTGTAGCGGCCGATGGAGCTTGATCTGCCGTGGGCCTATGCAACGAAAAGATCATGGATCCTAGAAGTCCCCAGCTTTTCTGCTCTCGTTTCGCTTTTCAAGGTTTGCAGAGGTGCTCTGTGATGCTGCAGCGAGCTCAGCTGCTTTGTGTCGCCCAGGCAGATTTTGTGCCAGGCCCAGTTAGACGGCTCCTTGTGTGATGGGTATCCAGACGGCAAAAGAATGGCACTGCTGTTTCTGCAGTGCCGTGCCTGTGAGCATACACTCCAGGGAAAATGCCCACGTGTCATCATAGCGCTTAGGGCACACAAAGTGTGCCTGCGACCGTTATCAGTATACCATCGCCCTAGTACCCTATAGAAGCCCTGAGCGAATACACCTTCAGGATCCGGCTCTACTCCTGGGAGGCGCAGCAGGAGCCAGAAATGTTTGGGGCTGCCGATCTTGGTTCCGGAGGAGGAAGCTGAATTTCGCCAAAGAATTTCCAAGGGTGGAGGCGCTAACTTAAATTGGCAGCTGCTTGATTTTCGTCTACGATCCCCTTCATGCCGCTGATCGCTCTCCTGATGAAAACTATTCTGACTCTCAGTATTCTCAACCTGGAATTAGCCTCTTGAAGTGACACAACGTGCCTCCTGATTGCCTAACCAGGCCCATGAAAAGGAAAACTTAACCTTGGATACTGGTGTATGTTGAGTGATTCGTTTGTGTGGGCAACGTGTCCAAACCCTTGCCTGGAGATGCCTGCAGGAGCGGCTGCACATGATTTTGGCCGTGCTGGTCGAGCGGTAGCATGGCTGGCCGATGTGGGCTTGGTGCTTGAGGTCAGTATGACTCTTCCGTGCGTTGGTCTTGATGTAGTGCAACCAGCAGAATTGTGGCCCTCCGCCCCCCGAGGTTCCGCAATCTTCCAGACATCTGGGACCAAGAAGCGACAAGGCTGTGCGGCACGGCAAACACTCGATCATGGTAGACTGACTGATGCCGACTGAAGAGTGCGGAGTCGGTGGCCAGCCGCCACGGGATCTCACATCAGCAGGATCGATCGCGGCATTGGGTTCTGAATCGACCGTAGGCAGTACTGGCCCTGGCAGCGAGCCGGCTGATCGACTTGCACAGCTTCAGCCAGCCTGGCACTGAGAACAAGCAGTGAGCCCGCCGCCAGCTCGGGCCGCGAGCCATGTGCAATCATAGCTGACGCAGCTTCTCTGAGGCCATGAAGGGTTGGAGAGGAAACGCCTTGTAGGGAATAGTCAGGCAGTTTCGGGCTACGGGATGCTCCAGGTCTCTGTTTCAGTCTCACGAAGCATTCTGGGGGTTCTCTAAATTACGGTCCCTTCTCGGTATCCCGTGTATATACTGTGTACAGATTATAAGGCTCCACGTCGAATCGGAGCCCCAAACGGACCATAATTCAGCGACCGTCCCATGTGAAGAATCATGTGAGCATACAATCGTGCGAGCTGAGAGGCCTTGAAGTTGGTGGCGGACTTACTGGAGGCCCGGGGTTTAGCTTTCGATTTGCTCCTATGAACGCAGGAGGGGGGGCCCACCTGTAGACTTTGTCCACATACATATGTACATGGGCATATACGCTTGTATATGTACAATGTACCTACATGTATACATGTACATATACATATATATATATATATACACATGTAAGCAATCTTGTATTTTGTGGGCTAAACCCGCTCCTTTCTTCTGCAGCTCCTGCGAGCGATCACAGGCCTCGCCAGAAAGCAAAGGCTCCTCACTCGCGGCTCCTGCGGTGGAGGCGCTACGAGAAGGCCTGGCACAGTATGGTTTTGTTTAGGGTTTGGCGTTTAGGGCCTTTGGGGTTTAGGAACACCAACTCCCCCCCCAAAAACAAACATCCTGAGGCCTGAAACGGAATTGTTCAGCGGTCTCTTGGCACCCCTTCATCATCTGAAAAGGAAAAGTAGTTGGTGGGCTGATCAAAGTTGTTTGGACGTTTGAGTAGTGAGCTTCCTCGACTTACAAAAGGGGGGCTGGGGGGTCACGCTCTTCCGGGCAACTTTTTGTTCTGTGCAACCAGAAACTCACCAACTTGCAGCGTTTCGCACTATTCCAGGCAACCATACTAATCAGAGGATAACATTACCCCCTGACTCACCAGTCTTCGCGTGGTCAATTCGCCTTCTTATATTGATTTACTATCGTCGGCCAGTGTCGCATACACGGGCATTTCCCAAAATAGTGGTATCCCAAATCTACCCCAAATTGCTATCATAATCCTCATGATGGGAACACCAACAGTGCACCCCTCCCCCCCCCCCCAATTTGCCTCCGCAGGGGCGCAGCTTGGCCAGCTTCTTTCCGGTGGATCGACATCCTCGAGCAACCCTGCTGCCCCCACCACGTGGCACCGGCCTGTTGCTTTGCAGCTAACTGGATCTTATTATAAGTTCGATGGGGTTTGGAAGCAGGGAACTAAGAACCACGATTTCTTGAGGGATACATCTCCCCCATAGCCCCAGAAACCACTCGCGTCTGAGGCTTTGGGTCGCGTGTTTGTTGCGCCTTCTCCCTATAACCACGCCAAACTGCCAAAAACGTGAAACTCATTTACCGCACTCATGTGGCAGGTTCTCCAATAATGCGGAGTCTTATAGACAGGGCACCCCCAAAAGCCCACGATTCAAAGAATCCACCCATATCTTCCACCTTCCATCCATGGCAGGGCAGCGCACAGCGATGCACCAGGTTTCTCGGAAAGGTTAGATTTTATCATATTTGTATGTATGTATTCCTACTTTAGTAGTATCACTCCTATACTAGAATACATGCATACATATATCTATATCTATATCTATATATACATATATATATACATATATATATATACATATATATATATATATGTGTGTTTTTTTTGTGGCCGAGGTCTTGCTTTGCCATTCGGCGGCCTTCTGGATATTTTGGGGTCTCTTTCGGGAGCCTTTTTCTTCCACAAGGGCTCCTGTGAAAAGAAGGGTACTTATTATGGGTCAGTGTGTGTCCACGTCTTACTGTAGCGTCGTCTAAGCCATCGCAAGAGCTTGCTGCGTTTCGTGGGAGGTCACGAGACCCCGGTGCTGGGCGCAGCTGGCGCGGTGGCCAAAGCGGTGCGCACCAAATCGTTCCGTTCTCAGACAGAGCTCCTGTGACACCGGAGATGGCCTTGAAACCTTATAAACCCTGTAAGCCCCTTGCAGTAGGACCCAACATTATCAGCTCTACACTTTACAAGCGTGAATACACATACATATACGCATATGGTCAGTTCTCAAAATTGTGGTGCATTTTGCGGTTCCCTTAAGTATTAGGGGCTGCCACGCAATAATGACCCAAAAAAGAACATAATGTTTAGAAATGACCCTATTATGCATACATACATATATATACATATATATATATATATAAATATACTTATGTATATGGGTATATATGTATATGTATATGTATAGGTATATATATATATATATGTATAGGTGTATATATATATATATACATATTTGTATATATATATGTCTATGTATATGTATATGTATATGTATGTGTATATACATATACATACATACATATATATATATATATATTTATGTAAATGTAAACAAATATATGTCTGTATATGTTTATGTATGTATGTATATATATGTACATATATACATGTTTATTTATTTGTATATGTGTATATGTATATATGTTTATATGTGTATATGTATATATGTATATGTATATATATATGTATATATGTATATTTGTATATATGTATGAGAGAGGGACCTTTATGTACTATGTTGCCTCTGGTTTTTCTTTAATATGAATTTCAAGACCTGTTTAAATTATTCGACTGAGCGCGGATTTTTTGACAGGGTCCTACAAAAAGTAAGGTTTTTCGCAAAGCTATCTGAAATCTGTGGATAGGGTAAAGAGAAACTAATCATGTACTATTTTATCGCGGGTTTAAGAGTTGCAGTTTAAGCTTAAGTTACGTTCGGGAATGGTCAACGACAACCGAGGTTTTTTTGAGATGAGGCGCGCTGCGAAAAAAAAATTGAGTACAGCTGATGGATTCTCGTTGCTTTCTTTTCGGATATAAGAGTGTAACTTTAAATTTTAAGTCTAAGCGTGAGTTTACGGGTAAGGGCGTCGCACCATATGAATCGCTAAGAAAACGTCCGAAAACAAACAACAGACCCAAGAAAAACAACACATCAAATCAATTTTCAAAACTATCGGTGTAAAGAATTGTTTGCGGCTCGCGCAATGTCAGCATAATTCTCAAAGTCGTTA